TGTCATTGGGTCTCAACATGTTTAAACTCTGCTTAAACTGAACAGAACAAAAATCTGAAGAAGCAGAAGATATAGACTATTTTAATTATTTATTTCTATTGAGTGATTGTATAGAATGTGGGTACAGAGACAGTTATTTTTAGATAACTTATTTTTTCTTGACCGCAGATAGCTAACATGTTATTGTTATTCCTATGAAAAATATGATTAGCTAGATTTTTCTAGTAATTTAGATTGTTTGTCATTGCCATGTGTATCATACCATTGGCTCTTACTGACAATTTTTTATGACTAATGCAAATGCTATTTGAAAATGTTCATTTTCAACCCCCCTCTTCCTCACAAGTAAAGAATTGTTTACCCAAAACTTTTGGATTGTTATTCTATGAGAAGAATTCAACCAGGTGGCCAAGGCAAATCTAACATTGAGTTTGGGACCAGAGTCTTCAGTTCTACAGCTACAGAGTTTTTTAAAAAGGGTATTATATTTGGATGGTAACAAAATCTGACAAAGTACAAAATACAGCTGAGTTTAATAATTACTAATCAGTGCTTGTATGGAATGTTGTTGCCCTAAAATGGTAGATTTTAGGCAACTTATTTTTTCATGAGAAAAAATGGTTAATCTACCTGAAGTATTATTATTCTTGAAGAAAATATTGTTATGTATGGAACATAATTTATTTTAACATTTGTAAATAGTTGTAATATGTTGCAGACATGATTCATTTTCTCTCTAATAGTCTAATGGAGACAGATCATGTTTTAAAATAACAGCATTATCATTATTACATTATCAATCTCAAAGTAATGGCATAAACATCCCTTTCTTGCTTTCTTCCTGCCTTTTGAAGTATATTTCATTCTGAGCTAGATCTCTGAAATCTTATTGCAAGATTTAAAATCTTTATTACAAGAAAATTTATTACTAGTAGCATGGGCTATTAAATATAGAGTATTTCCAGGTACCTTTATAGTATAAAAGAAAATAATTTAGTTACATGTAGTGTTTAAATTTATAGATTGGATGACAAAAATAAGTTGTCATTTTTAAAGACATTTAGCTGTTTGCAAAGAATGCGCTATTCAAAAGAAAGATTTTCAGACTGTAAAATTTACAGTGAAATTTACAAGATGGATATAAAAATTAATCCGCTGTGTAATATGATACAATATTCTAATATTTTAACTGTGCTTTTCATTGTTGCAGGTATGTTACAGCAACTACATAAAATGAAACCTGAATAGCCTCTGTAAATTATAAGTATAATTTGATTTTCCCCCCTCAAAGGTGGAAGCAAAATGGCACAGATATTGATCTTAGCATGAGTTATCACTACAGGCTGGTTGGAGGCAGCTTGGCAATCAATAATCCACATAAGAAACAGGATATTGGAACATACCAGTGTTTGGTCACAAATTCATTTGGAACTATTCTGAGCAGGAAAGCAAAGCTTCAGTTTGCATGTAAGTTTGGGGTGGGGTGGGGTTGAAAAGCATATTTGATGTTCACATCCCTTTTGTGCAATTATTTTGTGTACTGAAAACAATTTACTAGGCAATTAAAATAGCAATAAAATTTGCCACAGATTGGATGAACTTGCTCATGTTACCTTTTTCATGTTCAGTTCCAAGATCTTTTTATCTAGTAAATAGCATTAGTGAAACAGATATTCAGGGCTTTGCAATAATTATCCACAGATGACGTAAAGGTCAAGAAAGATGAACACAAATTACTTTTTTGTTAATAGAGTTGTTGTGACATACCCTTCCTCACCCTTTTTTTGGAGGGTTTTTTTTTTCCATGTCCAGATTGCTGTTTGTAAAATATCTATTCTATGCTAAGCAACAGGTTGGAAAATACAATAATCACAAAAGAATAATGATGTCCAGCGTAGTCCCATAAATGTCACCTTCTGTAATTACCTTCCTGACATTTAACCACATTAACAGGCATATACACTTCCTCACCTCTGCTTTGTAATTGGCACAGCATTGTGGTTTGCATCAAAAATATGCAGTGGTCCTTTCAGCATAGATATAGCAATACCTGGGAGTATGTGCACGTATATGTGCAAGGTTTTGTGCACTAAAATAGGTAATAAGATTGCTTATTTATGTTTTTTTCTTTGTATTACCACCTATCATTAATTACATATTCAAACGATAAGCATATTCTGATAAACACAAGTGAACATATTTTAACTAGAGATCGTGGTACATAAAAATTAGATTATATTCCCTGCTTTAATGAAGTGGACAAAAATCTACTTCAAAATGGTGAATATTTGTTCAGAATCCCTGGCAACACTGCACATCTTCTTTTAGCACAAATACTGTACCTTTAAAAAGATAATGTATACTAATTGTAACCATGCTAGCAGAGACAGGGAAGGCCAGAAGAAGTGTTATTAAAATTAGCACATTCTACCTCAATTGTTTCAGAAGTAATTTGGACTTTTTAATTTCTTTTCTCAAGGAGAGTGACCTTGAGGTTAGAGACAAAGCATTCAGGGGAACTGATTTCCTCTTCTCCACTGATTTTTGGAAGTTGCCTTTTGCTGTATTATACTTATGCTACAAGCTGTGAACTGAGATGGCAGTTATAGAGAACAAAAAAATGTGAAGTCTCATACTACCCAGTTACAATTCATTGGAAGATTTAACACCATTTTCATGCATTAAACAAAGACCAAAGTTCTTAATTATACTACATATGTTAGCCAGGTCTTCAAAGCAAGCATGCCTGAATTATACTTAACTACTGCTGCATTAAAAGTCACTATGAGCAATTCTCACTGATTTTCTCATCTTGTTTAACCTGCTCCTCCCTGCTCTCAGCTTCCCCACCACCACCACCACCAAATATTAGTGTTTATAAAAAATGTTTCCTTTTCTGGATTATATCCTGGGCATCTGATGAAGAGGACTATTATCTGCAGAAACTTGTGCAATAATATTTTGATTAGTTTTAAGGTGTGTTGGGACTCTTTACTGCTCTTGCTGGAAAAGTCTAAAGCAGCTAACTTTCTGAAAACTGTAACACAAAAATTGTTAAGGGAGCGAGGGAAAGTTAAGTAAATGTGTCTCTTTAGATGGTTGATTTGACCAAGGATTTTCCAAGAACCTCAAAACAATACCCATTGTCCATATCAATGGACTCAAAACAAGCAAGTTATATGAGGAGTGAATTCACCCACATCCTAGAAGTGAGCAGCTGTAGAACAGTGAAATGATAGAAACATTTCACTTAGAATTTTGAAAGAACATTGTGAGCATTGTCATAAAGGTGCCCTCATGATTAATATAGCCACTCACAAAATAAAAACTTACTCAAAGGCAAAAACCTAAAGTGTTCCTTGCTACTTTCTCAGCCTAGCTGAACATCCCAAAATGCTCCATTCCACACAATAGTTTTAACCATCCTTTCTGTCCTGGGCTGATAGGCAGATTCCCAAACAAAATCTAGGTTTCAGGCAAAACATTAGGTTTCAAGCATTATTCATTTTATTTTCTAGGACAGAGGTGTCAAACTCGCATCATCATGGTGGTGTCACATGATGTATTGGGACTGTTTTCCCCTTTGCTAAACCAGGTGGGGTCAGGACCAGTCTGTACATTCAGCCCATGGGACACCCCTGTTCTAGGGTATACTATAGCCATTCAGAAAGGAGGGGGAAGCAGAAACCCAGATCACATAGAATTACTGTAACTCCAGTTCTTATCTCCTTATACTTTTCCTAGATACCTAAGCTGAGTCATATTGGAAAAACAACTTGAGCTAATTAGTTGGGTTTTTTCCATTCCATTTTTTAATCTTTCAAGAAGAGAGTGGGCTTCCATCTGTCAGAAATGGTGTAGGATCTCCTGCTTGGGCGGGGGTGGGGGGGGTTGGACTAGATGACCTACAAGGTCCCTTCCAACTCTGATTATCTGTTATCTCTTAATCCTCATCATTATATGGACTTCTTCATACACTCAGACAGAAATGAGTTTAATTCTCATTAATAAAACATAGTTCTAAAATCAGTCTGTCACTATTTCTGCCATCAATATAACATTAATAATCAATCATATTCTGTTCCTATTATAAATGTCTCTGTCCTGTGAAGGTCAGACAAAAGAAAGCACCTAGAAAATGAGATCATGCTTAGATTATTATTTTTTTGGTACCTGTGTAAAGGCAATCCCTTCTGCCTATGTCTGCTATGCTTTTCAGCATTTTAATTGGACTCTAAAATAAGAGAATGCTGACAACTAAGTAGAATCCAAACTATTGGAGAACAGTCAAATTGGATGGAATGTTATAGGTCAGTTAGCCCAGCCCTTGTCTGACAAATCACTGTCTATTCTTCCAAAAATTCTACTTGAATTTAAACACATTTTTTTTAAAAAAAAAGTCATTAAAAGCTACCACAACCTCACATTGAACAATGGTTCTTCCTTCTGTGCCATCCCACACTTCTGTTCCAGGAAAGTGATTATCAATTGCTTTCCTTCCTCTGAATATTTTCCTGGATACACAGATACAAAGTTAAAACATAAAACATAAAATGCACTTATATGTAGACTCAAAAAAAACAAAAAACCTCGCCTCTCTGTGCCCTGTTTTACTTTACTGATTTACTGCTGAATTTATAAGGCTACACAAATCAACCAGTGGCACTGGGTGGTGTACAACATGCACCATCCTCCAACACCCTCCATACAAACAATGTCAAGTCATACAGGAAATGCAAAATGTAAATATGAAATATAGAATATAAAACAGTGACCAATCACCATAATAAAAGCATACAAAAGGGGACTCGATTCAACTGACTTTGTTGACAGTCTTCACTTCATTTAGCTAATTTTTTTTTGAGATGGAGAGCATCTGAGGTACACTGAAGTATTTCCTGATAATATGAGAATCTAAAGAATAGAAAAGCTCACTCCATTTATAGTATGGAAGGGTTCCTGGGGTCACCTTTGTTATTAGAATACAATAGCATTGCATGTACAGCATTACATTCCTCATTACAAATCAGAGAATTATACTCATCAAAAAAGATCCTGTTGCATGTGTCATGACTGACAAATCCAATTTTGTAGTTGCTTGTGGACAGGACTTCTCAGCAGTGGCACCTGATCTCTGGAGTGGTTTCAATATTGAAATCCCTTAGCGCACAGGTGTCAAACTTGCAGCATCACATTGCTGTCACATGATGTTTCACATTTTTCCCCTTTGCGAAGCTGGGGTGGGCATGGCCTGCACATGATGCATCCGGCCCATGGGCCATCAGTTTGACACCCCTGCCTTAGAACTTAGTATTATGGCAGTTTCCTTTATGAAGGTTTTATTTCATTTTCATTTTCCTCCTTTTAAATCAATATTTTATATAGTTTAAGTTTATCTTATTTTATGTTTTCAAACAATATTGTAAACTTCTTCAAAAACAGTTTACAATATAGTTTTAAAACTTAAAATATATGGAAAGCTGTGTAGAAAATCATCAACATCCTTTTTCCATTTTTGTGTTCCTACATGGAGATAACAGGGATTGAACATAGGAATGTCTGCATAATAAGCATTTCAATATTTAACTACAGTTGAATACATTTTTATTCTATGTCTCTGATTAAGACAGTCACAGAACTACCATTGTTTTGGTAGCTTTCAGTACTCTTGCAATTCTTTTTGGTTGCATCATTTGTTTTCCTATAGAGGAATTTCAGTATTATCTGAAAAGGTTGCCTTAGATAAAATTGGGAAGTAACTCTATTCTCACTTGGTACAATATATCGGAGGGAATAATTCTTAAAAGGTGCCAGATATGTAGTTAATAGCTTCAGGTAGCAGGTAATGGAAAATAATTCCCAGAATCATGTTATGTTCAATTCTGCTTTCTTCATGAAAAGTTTCTCCTAAACGAGCTTAACAAACAATCTGCATTAATGCCTTATATTTGGCCATCACAGACTTAATTTCTCCGCTGCCACTCCATATTATTGCTTGTAGGCAAGCTCACTGCCATAATTCACACAGCTCAATAGCTTGGCTCAGTTGTAGAAAACTAGTTGCAGGAATGTCAATTTCTGTGGTGGCTATAATGTGTTGTTCTCCAAGTTGCCAAGTGGTGATAAATCTGTATTCAGGAGTGCATTCGGGGTGAGTGTATCTAATCAATAAATGTGGTTATTTGTTTTCTCTCCCAATTAACTGGGTTAGGAATAGATTTCTCTTTCAAAAATACAGAGCCAGAGAAAAAGGGAACTTTCAAGCTGGCATTAAATGAAAATGTTTAATACTGCACTGTAGAAGATACATAGAAAGTCAACTGCATGTTGATAAATGCTTGGACTTACTCTGCCATTCACAATGTCAGATGTTATTGCAGTAGTGCTCAGATATGCTGCAAAATGTTCTCTCCACACTATTTCAATAACATTAATTTGGGAAGAATCTAATATGTAGCTCCAGTGTA